CATCTGCCACTTTCTCACCTTTCTGCAGCACCTGGAATATTCCCTTTCAGCTTTCATTTAATGTTTTTAATAATGGATAAATTTGAGTTATGATTACTCTCATTTAAAGGCAGCTGTTCAGATCCTCATGTCTGCATAGAATACCTGAAAGTAGCTTGATAGCTTTTTTGGATGGTTTTGCGTGATGGTCGGGGGTGATGTTGGTGGGAACAGTCTCCAACCTGGAAATCCTGCGATAGTGAGGTGAGGGAAGAGGGTGGATTTTATTTGCATGTAAGTTGATCAACCCTGAAGTTATTGGCTTATGATTTAATATTCAATGCAAATTTTGGATGCCACTCCCTCTGGCCTCAATATTGGATCATTGCCAGAGCCAAGCCCTATGTACACTTATCCATTTCCAATTCCTCTGAGAGAATGGCCTTTACTTTTACTTTTTACTTTATTTAGACTTTTGTACCTTTACATGAAAGAGACAGTGAAATGTTTTATAAGTTGCCTCACCATGGTGCCTACGTCAGTGACAGAAGTCAACACAATAACAAAAAAAAAGACAGAGTTCATCACAGATCAGTTAACGGCTCCTGGGCTCGGGGAGAGCCGATTAAGGAATGACGAACTACCCTGACAATGCAGCCAGGATGAGACTGCCATGCCGGGTCACTGAATACAAGGCCGGACCCCTCTGCTGAAGCAAACCATCCTGCCTTGCCGATACCACCACTCCTGGATGAGACTGCCTTCTGAGCTGCTGGAGTACCTGGACATTGAAAACAAAGAAGACCTCCACACGGGGGTGAGACCACCACACTTGGAAAAGACCACCACACTGTGATGAAACCTCCATGCCAGGAGACTGCCGCACAGGAAGACCACCACACTGGGCCAAGACTGCCTTTCTCCTTGGTCAGGTGCCAGGACCTAGCTGTGGACCTGGAGCCTCGGCCAAGCCTGAGAGTCCGGGCCACTTGGGGAAAGGACTGAAGATTTTGGTTTTGCTCAGTGATCGGTGTGAGTGAGAGCATATGATGTTTGCCAGTGACCACTGAGGATAAGGACTTGGTGGTGTTTGGCCATTGTAAGGTTTGAGGGAAGTTGTAGCTCAATGGTCAGTCTGGAGAAGGACATGAGGGAGTGTAGTGGAGCACCAGTGTTGGACACCATGGAATGATGGGATTTTGTCTGTCAGTGTGTCACCCTAAGTGCAGCTACATTGCATTGGAGACCACACTCCTGATCACTATGTGTTGCTGTAAAGTGTGTGCACACACATGCATGCACACTAGGGGCTTAATGTGGCCCAAGGTTTGCTGTACTAATGATAGCAAAACTCAGTGGTCACCATCCCTCCTCAGAACCTGACAGCAGCATCTAGAGTCTGAGCATGTAGACGTGATGGCATAGTGGACTAGTAATTCAGAATCCTGGGTTAATGTTCTGAGGGCAAGAGTTCAAATCTCACCATGGTAGATGGTGAAATATGAAATTCAATAAACAACAGTAGCGTCTGAAGTAAACAGCTAGCCTAATGATGGCCATGTAACCATTGTTGATTGTTGTTAACAACCCATCTGTTTTACTGCTTCAGGGAAAGAAATCTGCTGTCCTTAGCTGGTCTGCCAACATGTGACTCCAGACGCGTCTGCCTACATGTGACTCCAGGCCCGTAGCAATGTGGTTGACTTTTAATTGCCCCCTGGGCAATTTAAGATAAGCATTAAATTGACTGCATTGCTCAGATCCCATGACCAAATGAAAACCAAACCAAAACCCTTTGATCTTGTGCTTCCCTGTTGGTTGAACTGTTAATACTCCAATTGAGAATTGGATAAAAATCATGGAACTACTAAATTTTCTAATTTTCGTCATGCTGATCTTGCTGTAAATAAAACCTTAATGTTATGCCTTGTTAAATGAGGGGTACGGAGTTCAGATTTACTCATAAAAATCTTTCTGCTGCTGAGAAGCGTAATTACGTAACAGTGGAATGTCACATCGCTTATTAAAAAATACAAATTTGTTATCACAATTTAAGTTTGTTTGCATTTCAGTGTCCACCTTAATCCTATATGTATAATCAATGACACTGTGCATGTTCAAATTTCAGTGGAAAGTTGGGAAGACAATCTGTGTATTTTGCTGCCTGAGAGTATTTCAGTCTGATTCACTGTTTGCCCTTTTTAATATCACCATTATTTTTGGGTGCCTGGTGATAGCCTTTACTTGAATGTGGATTCAAATGGTCAGGAAAGGAGAAGTCTGTGCCAGAGGTCACTAGGTATTTGTGGCTGTTTCTTTAGGGTCAGTGGTGAGTGCTATTGCTTTGCTTCTCGCTGAAGACCCTCACGGGATGTGGGTAACTCTGGGTGGGCTAGCATTTATTGCCAATCCCTGATTGCAGTTAAAAGTCAACCATGTTGCTGTGGTTCTGAGTCACGCATAAGCCTTCCTGAAAGGATATTAGTGAACCAGATGTGTGTTTCCAACAATCGTCAATGGTTTCCAGATTCTTGAATGAATTCAAATTCCACCGTCTCCCATGGCAGGATTTGAACCCGGGTCCCCTGAACATTAGCTGATAATACTATGAGGCCGTTGCCTCCCCTGATCCAAATAGTTAAACTGTCAATTCATGATGAATTAATATTTCAGCAAATGCAGCAGTTCTCTGCTGAACTGGACCTCAGCCTGAATCACTGCATTTGAGAAAGTAGGGGAGTGACACCAAATAGCGGGGTGTTCCCTCACACCCATATGGTACTATGTGCCAAATTGCATATGACAAATGCGGGACCATTGTATACAACAGATAGAGTTCCACTGTCTTCAGCTGTTTGGCTTAATGCATTAATGAAGGAAGGTGCAGGATGAGTGTAGTTTTTGGGTTGCAGGGCGCTTGATATGTAATGCATGTCTCTGCAAATAAACTCTGAGATAGTAAGAACTGCCGATGCTGGAGTCAGAGATAACACAGTGTAGAACTGGAGGAGCACAGTAGGCAGGCAGCATCAAAGGAGCAGGAAAGCTGACGTTTCGGGTCGGGACCCTTGTTCAGAGAAAAAAAAAATTATTTTTCTGAAGAAGGGTCCCGACCTGAAATGTCAGCTTCCCTGCTCCTCTGGTTCTGCCTGGCTTGCTGTGTCCCTCCAGCTCCACACTGTGTTATCTCTGTAAATAAACGCTTGTTAAATGTACGAAGGCCAAGTCCCAGCTCTATCCTTCACCACTTTGAGTTGTAACCTGAAGTGCTGATGTGAGGTTCAGTGGGTTTTGCTGTAGCTGCCTAACTAATAGTTTGTCTCCATTTATTTGGTATTTTATTACAGTTGAGAATAAAGCAGTGCCTTTAAATCTTGAATTATTATGTGAATTGTGAATAATATTATTGTGAATTGTAAGTCAGTGTTCCCCCATTCCACCATGTACCCTTGTGGAATGCAATTCTCAATGAGACCATGCATCACATAAATGTTTTAGAATTCTGCTGTCCCAGGAATTAATTCTCACATCATGCAACACAATGAGAAGGGAAATGATGACTTTAACTTCAATCCAATTTTAACTGTAATGTAACCCGGTGCTGTCTATGTCCTACTCCCTCATTGATGCAATACCCAATGAACACTTCTGCAATTGACAGACCACATTATATTAAGTTCATAGTTCATAGAATCCCTAAAGTGTGGAAACAGGCCCTTCGGCCCAACAAGTCCACACTGACCCTCAGATCATCCCACCTAATCTACACATCCCTGAAACACTAAGGACAATTTAGCATGGCCAATCCACCTACCCTGCACATCTTTGGACTGTAGAAGGAAACCGGAGCACTGGGAGGAAACCCACGCAGACACGGGGAGAATGTGCAAACTCCACACAGACAGTCGCCTGAGGGTGGAATCGAACCCAGATCCCTGGCGCTGTGTGGTAGCAGTGCTAACCACTGAGCCACCGTGCCGCCCCAAAGACAAGGTACTGAATGATTTTTTTTTTAATACCACCGTCACTTTGGGTATATAAATGGCATCCTCAGCTGTTGTCACCTAAAGCTATAAATGCTGCAGTGAGACATTTAAGTCAGTATATGAAATATTACTCCTGGGAGGAGGAGGTCTAAAGGGATACTACATTTTGATGGATTTCAGAGGCAAGTATTTCTCTTTCTCGTTTCCAAATTAAAGTTAGTTTCTCATTCTTCTGATAGAGAATTTCTCTCCCCTGCCTTTTAACCTAGTTTCTTGTCTCCTGACCTGTTTGTGGGTTTGAAGATTGGGTTAACAGAGCAGGAACTTTTTTATGAAGCTGTCTGTGCTCTTTGTTAAAGCAAGCTGACTTTCAAAAGTGGGGGGGTGCCTCCCCAATGCTGAGATAAGCTTACAGGATTCTATAAGCTGATGAACCAACCAGGACCATTGCCAAGATCTGAACCATGTGACTCCTCATTATCTGAAGAAACTCCTGTAACTTGTGTGTTGCATCAAGTGTCTGTACCCTGTTGTCAGTGGGCAGTTGCACAAACGTACTGAAAACCAAGTCAACATATCTTTCAATGTGTGCATGTTTTGTCCCAATGTTTCTTCTGCTTATGTAATTAGCTGTTGATGCTGTCCTTTTTTTAAGTACTATCCAAGCTGTGTACCTACCTCGCTGCTGATTAAAGGATAGTCAGGCAGGCTGCCTCAAGGAGTTGAGTTGGTTATACGCAGAGAGTGATTTAGTTTGGCTTGATTGTTATCTGCTCAAGGGAACACTTTTACAATCACCCAGAACTCGGAACAGTGCAGGGAATTGTAGAGCTAAGGGGAAGCACAAAAAAAGGTAAGAAATTTCTCCATGCAAAATTAAACGGGCTGCCTCATACCTTGCTGAACCAGGAATTCGATATGGATGGCACTGTGTGTGTTTTGACCCTGTGGTGAGGCAGCAGCTGTGTGATATTCTCTGCCGTGTTGTGTATGAAGCCAAGGCTTTCAGTTAAAAGCCCCGTTTATTCTCTGCAGGAAGCTACATTTCAGAAGGATGAGCTCATCTGTTTCACGAGAGCTGCAGTGTCCGCAGGTATTTGGCCGGTCCATATCTCAGGATTCTGTGGAGAGCTCCTTGATGGAGGACTATTGGAGAGAAGTGAGGAGCATTAAGGAGAGCAGTCAGAATGGACACGAGGAGCAGAACCTAGTGGAAGTCAAGACACCTGATGGTGAGTGATAGTGAGTCTCAGTACAAGTTAACCCCTGAGCAATAAGGTCTGGTAATTCAAAAAGCTAAGCCTCCAGCGCACCATATACATGACCCTTATGTAGCTGCCACTAGCTTTGAATATACCAGGAACTGGTTGACATATCAATATAGGTGTTACAATTGTAAAATATCAAGGTCCTTAAATTTCATCCTCAACACAGCAAAAGCTGAGCATTTGATTTGGTGTGAGCTGTACATTGACTGTACATCGTCTATTTTATTACTGAATATTACTGTTGCAGTGTTACTTAGTTGAGGAGCATCAGGCACTCATGACTATCCCATTTTTGCAATGCTGTTACGTTGTAACATGCAACTACAATTATTATGAAGCTATATTTATTGCTGTCAAGTTCTGTACTTTAATCTCACTTGCAGACATTTCTCCCACAATTCTTCAGCTGTAACCATGGTATCACAGAATCCCTACAGTGCCATTCAGCTCTCTGAAGAACATCCCACCCAGACCCACCACCCCATCCTATCCACGGGACCCTGCATTTACCATGGCTAATCTGCCAAGCCAACGTATCCCAGGATACTACAGGGGCAATTTAACATGGCCAACCCACTTAGCCTGCACATCTTTGGACTGTGGGAGGAAACCGGAGTACCCGGAAGAAACCTGTGCAGACATGGGGAGAACATGCAAACTCTACACAGATAGTCACCTGAGGCTGGAATTGAACCTGGGTCCCTGGCGCTGTGAGGCAGCAGTGCTAACCACTGAGCCAGCGTACTATCCCATAATGGGGGGAATTACTAAGAATGGAAGCCACCCTGGAAGTTATAGTATGTAATTGTGAATTAAAGTGGTGTATCAATGAGCTCATGTATCACTGTAAAAGTTGTACAGGTCTGCTGCCTCAGGAACTTATTGCTGCTGCACGCAGCACAGTGACACAATGAGGGAGAAGGGAAATGATACTCGTGTTGCCAGAGGGAGAGGCTTGTTTCTGTACTGTGCACTCTGTGTAGTGGCAAGGGCTGCACGGTTGGCCCCACGAGCATGAGTATTTTGTCCAGCTGCACAGTTTGGTTGCCATCCACCCTGATCTCTGATGGATGAGTATGGATGCCAGGTAAGTCTTCGATGATCACTGCTGCTGATCATTGTTATTCAGGTTTGTATGTAAAGGGCATCAGTGATTGTACAGCTATCCACACTGCAGCCTCTTCAGGAGAAGAGGAGAATTCTGCCCATTTGAATAGTTTAATGATAATCTACATAAAAGCAGGCTGAAGTTTAAACATTAGCCAATGCTATTTCCATAAAGGATTGACCATCATCGTTGGCTGTGAGTCCAAGTTAATATTTTGCAAGAAGTTGTTGCCCAATACAGAAATCCGTGAAATATCTGTTTCAACTGAATGGGCTGGTTTGGTTGTGCCAGTTTAGATGTATTATCTCAAGACTGTAGAGATTACAAGTTGTTGGCATTAATTAAACAAGGTCAGTGGGTACATTCGTGAAAACCGTAGAAATATTAGTGGACAGAAGAGGCCTATAAACTGATTGTGAAGAAGTGTTTTCACAGATACTAGTTGATTTTTAGTTCCCTTTTTTTTAAAATAAGAGTTTACTTACTTACTCTTTACTGGTTTTCCAAATCCCCATCCAGCTGAAGAGCTTGATTCATATCAGGGTACAGCGGCATCCATAGGAGTCTCACAGTGTCCCTAAAACGTGGTAAGAATTCAAGGACGAGCAAGGTGCAATACTTCCCCCACTGCTTAACCTCATGTACATACAGACACTCACTCACATCAGCACATATTCCGTGGGTGTGGTGAATCCAGGCCCAGTGTGTTTGTTATAAGATGAATTCTCACCGCTGCTCATTTTGTTGTGTGAGTTACTTAGTAGATTGGCTGACCACCATGATCATTCCAGGTTGGTGGTCTACAGGTCCAGTGTAATAAAGGAAAACCACCTGGAAGGGATTCTTACCCTCAATAAGATTATTGAGTGATGGCTAATAGGTAAGTAAAGTCACCATTGTACAACTGCACCCTCATTAGAGAGAGAGATATGACTGGTGGTGGTTTAACCTGAGGGCCAACATACCTCAGGTGGTGTAAGAGGTTGAGAAGGAGAGTCCTTCATGATAACCTCAGTCAACACAGGAATTGAACCCATGCTGTTGGCGTCACTTTGCATTGTAAACCAGCCATCCAGCCAATTGAGCTAACTGCTCCACGACTAGTAGTTGCATGTTATGTGAATAGGATAGACTCTGTTCAGCTGCTATGATGGTCGGTCTTACTCCTATGAGATCTTAAGCTGTTCTGCCTCTAGGTCTCTGTTGGTATCATCATAGTGGTACTTAATACACAATTAGCACTTAGACATCCTTATCCAATAGAGTCTACTAGGCCACTACCAGTAGCTATGGTATGGTAGCATTGGTATCATGGCAAAATATCAAAGTCTGAGCAAAGGGACTTGGGATTTTATTATGAGCAACTCAGCAGCTGTAATAAATGGTGAGCAACTTCAGTAGATGCAAGGGGGCTTGGCTTCTTCCTGTCTTCCTTCCCTCTCTCTGTGCTGACCACCCTCTTTTCATCCAAGAGTTCTCCATCAGAGAACAGTAGCAAGCAGTTTCAACTTCTCTCTGCCCCACCCCGCTCCTGCATACTCTAAATTAAAGTTTCCCTCAGTTATGGATCAGGCCAAAGCCCTCAAAACATATCAAGGAGATAGCTAGACCCTAACTTTTTCTTATTTTAGAGACATTCTGGATGCAATTTGATTGGTCAAAATACCTGTCTCGAAGCAAAACACACTTTATTCATACACTATGCTTAAAATACCACAAAAAAATTGGATTGAAATAACTTAACTCTATTGGAAAACTTAACAAATGATAGGTTATTTAAATGCTAAACAGCAACTGTTCCAGTATAGAAACATACCATGAAACACTCTTGGCAAAGGCAGATTCAGTGAATCAGATTGTCTCACATGCAATTCTAGCAGCAGGGAAGACAACCCAAGCCTTTAGCTGTCACAAAGCGAGAGAGAGATGTAGCAGCTTTTAGAAACCCCACAGCTACTGAAAGCTAAATTAAAAATCCTGGTTCTGTGGGAGCTTGACAGCACACATTCATGCTGCTTTTATTGTTCGAACTTAAAAATAAAACTCAAGTCCTCACAAGCTGTTCACTTTATTTGCTTGAAGCAGATTGCTTGGCACCTCTGTCTCAACCTCTCTTCATTAAAGAAAACGAGGACAAAGTACACCTTTTAAAGGCATAGTACTGTCACACCCTCTGCATGGAGAGCGCATGTGCTCAGTGCCGATCAGATCCCTGTCCTGACCTTAGCCCCATTGGCTAGAATATGTTCTTTCACACACACGTGTGCGCCTGCACTCAGGCACACTGACACGCGTACACATGCACACATCACACACACACAGACCACACTTGTGCGCACACACTCGTGCACACACCACACCCATGCGCGCGCGCACACACACACATACATATGTTCACATACACACACATGCTGTCAACATGCTCACACATAGACATACTCTCACACACCCACACCCACATGCTCTTACACACACATGCTGTCACACACATGCCGTCTCACACAGGCACATGCACTCACACACACAGACATGCTGTCTCTCACACACATGCGTACAGGCTCACACACAGACATGCTGTCTCTCACACACACATGCATACA